AATGCGAGGACAGGCACTAGTCCCAACTCGGTCAGTCATCTGTACGGTGGAAACCTTTCCTAGGCCTCTCCCGGTGTTAGAGTAATGAAGCAAAACGGCAAAATGCCGGCCTTCCGCAGACTTCTGCTCACATTCTTTTCTCCCACTTGCATTAACTGACCACCCCAGACTCAGACCTTACTGGAAAGCTGGATGCTTTATCCATTGAAGTCCTGGCCAACTGTTTAGGAATATTTTCCATGGTGATGGGGTAGAGCTTGGAGGCATCTCTCCAAGTCTCCCAGGCTGGCTTTTCTGCCTTCCCAAGCAAACACTGGTTCTAAGACTTAGCCACCATTTTCTGCCAGTGACTCAGAACAGAAGGGCCTTTCCTCCCCTCTCCACTTCTCCCGAGGCTTGCTGCAGCCCAGCCTGGGTGCTCTTCCCTTTGTGAGGTCCCTCCCCTCCAGGCTCTGATTTGTCGGCTCAGATGCCACTCTAGAATAGCTCCACCACCTCGGTCACATGACCCTGTTTCTCTGCTGTACTAAGTGACTGATGTTGTCATGTTGTGTTAGTGTGCAGTAAGCCCCCAGAGCAGAGGACTCCTACCCTGTAGGACTACCCCAGAGACATGCGGGTCTGAGTGCTTCTGTTGCCCACCAGAGCTGGAGTTCACCATTGCTGTGCTGTTCGTGCAGCACCAGACATGCACAGCAGGCCGGCACCCTCTGACCTCTTCCAGGCTGGGTTCTTTGACAGGAGGTACTGGCATCTTCCCTGATAGTGCTCCCTACTCTTTCCTACCCAGTGTCCTGAATGTCAAGATAATTGAGGCAGAAAAGTAATATGAGTCAAAAGATCCCAAAGATGTCAGAGCCTATTGTGTATAACCCAGTTCTAGAAGGGAAACTGGAAAATCACCTCAGTTCTTGATGCTATTAGTGTATTTTGTTAATGATAATAAAGGCCTGCTTGTTCTGCCAGGCCCAGTGGCCCACACCTTTAATCCCAGCACTCGGGAGGCAGAGACAGGCTGATCTCCATGAGTTCGAGGCCAGCCTGGACTACAGAGTGAGATCCAGGACAGCCAGAGCTACACAGAGAAACCCTGTCTTGAATGAAGGAAGAAAGGAAGGAAGAGTAGAGTGAATGAATTAATAAATAAATAAATCTGCTGCTGCTGCTTAAATGGGCCATAAAAGACTATAGTAGCATGAGAGGATGACACACTCCTTCAGGCCAGAAAAGTAGCAAGACCAAAGAAGAGTAAGAACCATAATTCCCATTGCACCTGTCAGCCAGCAGATGTGTTCTGGAACTTGGCCCAATTAAAGTGCCTGGAAACCCCTGCAGCCCAGTTGAAGTAGACGAACTCTCAGATGGCCTTCAAGGCAGCCCTTCCTCAGGAGCATTTCCAGTCTTGGTCTCGATTCCAAATGTCCTGGTCTGAGGCCTTGCAGATTATGGCTGTTGTTATGTTGATGAGAAGCGAGAACCTAAACCCCAAACAGCTCGTGTAGCCGGCTTTTACAAAGCACTTCTTGAGTTTCATTATGTCCACAGAGGGGCATTACATTTTATTCCTGTTTTACAGAGAAGGAAAAAAAAAAACAAACACAAAAAGCCAAAAGTTAAATACCTATACCTTTCCCCAAAGTACAGATAGTAGATATCAAAGTCATTCTCGTCCACAGCACCATGTCAACCTCTGCACATCAGCAAGCTCAGCTCTTGGATGTAAACCAAGCTGTCACAGGATCCTCTTAGCAGCTGCCTGTGGCTGTGAACAGGGGAATAAAATAGCCAGACCTGCCTTGATGGCCTTTGTCTGGACTGCCCTGGAGAATTGGGTTGCATCTGTGCATGTGCCCTTGTTGCTGTCTGAGGCTCCCTTGGCCTCAGCTTTGCCCCATTAGCATCTATTCTGCACTTTGTTTTCAGTGGTCTCCAGGCCATCTGGAACCTGCAAGCCCTTATCCATGCTCAGTGAGCATCCCAATGTAAGAGTCGCTTCCTTCTCCTTCCTGCTCTCCCAGCAGATTGAGAGCTCTGTCCTGAAACACCCACACGTGAGGCTTACACAGTACCATCTCTCGCCTGTGTTCATTGCTCTTCTGCTGGCTCCTCCAAGGGGCAGTTAGCATGCCTGCCACCAAGTCCCCCATTTCCACGAGTACTTCTCCAGATCCAGGATAGGCAGGGGCTGGGAACGACCGAGGTGAGGCCCTCGGATTGTGTCCACACCTCCTCACCCAGGTCCCCATTCTTTGCCTTTATCAGAGGAGCATACAGTTTGTGCCGCTGCTCTCTCTGCCAGGGAATCTGAATTTCAGATTTAACTGGGTCTCCTTTATTTCCACTTACTAAATCTGACAACTCTGACCCAAGGGACTTGTGTCAGTCGGGCCTGAGCACAGCCTTTCCATGTGTTGCAGCTAATCTGGCCTCATTGACAGTTTGGACACCACAGCCTAATTGCTGATCCAGACAAGGCGGTAGTTACTAGTTTCAGACAGCACACATCCCAACTTGGGCCATCTGCTATCCTCAAGACCCTGATGGAAGTTGGCTACCTAAAATCATAGTGACAGTATTAGCTACCGGTTTGTTGAGCTCTTGTTCCATGCTAAGCATTATTAATATACTATTTCATTTACTCCTCAGAGCAGCCCATCTGAGTAAGGAGGGTTTGTCTCCCTCTAGCTTTTCTTTTGGCAGGAGGAGGGGGTGTAAGTTTTTTTGATTTGGGATTCTTTTTGTTGTTCATTAAGACAGTTTTTCAGGATCCAGGGAGACGGTTCAGTTGGTATAGTGTTTGCCTAGTGTGTACAAAGCCCTGGCATCACATAAGACAGGCATAGTGCTTCATACCTGTAATCTTAGCAACTGGAAAGGTAAAGTCAGAAGCTTAAGGTCATTCTGGTCTATATATAGCAAGCCATCCTGAAATACATGAGACCCCGTCTCCAAAAAAATAAAAATGCAAGAGTGGTCTTTGGCCCAGGCTAGTATAAGAACTCACATCAGTCTTCTTGCCTCAGCCTCAGCAGTAGTGTGTGTGTGTGTGTGTGTGTCTTTGTTGTTGTCCCCTCCCCCTTTTAATATGTTAGGAAACTGAGACTTGCTAAGTTTATATGACTTGTCCAGAGTCACACAGCCAGTGAGTGACAGGATTCAAATTCAGCTTCCACTGGCCTCAGAACCTGTATTTTCTGACTAGTCCTTGGTAGTGTGTGGAGGATTAGTAGCACAGGCTCATCTGGCAAGCAGGTGGGATGGGCTTCACTTCAGGATGCTGAGGGGCAGAAAAACAAGACCTGAACTCAGCAAAGAACACAGGTTCCTGGACCTGGTTACATTTTACCATGAATGTAATAACCTTGTAGTGACAGATGCACATTTTCCACGGTGCAACAAAGAAAAATTAGTGTAGAGATTCAATTATGTCTCCCATTTTTAATGACAATTTTGCTCCCTCAATAGATTAATTAGCAGCAGAGAGTTCCTCCCCTCAAGCAAATCGCAGCACACTTTATGGCAAGAAAGGGTCCATTAAAATGCAGCTGTGTCTCATTAAGCAGCCAGGCTCCCTCCTGAGCATCATGCCTGCCAGCATAGGCTGGCCTCCCTCCCACCCTGTCTGGGAAGACTGAGGGAGACCTCGAGGGAGCCTTCTGACCTTGGCTTGAGAGCTGGAGCAGAGCTCCAGGCTTCAGGGGAGCCCTGTGTGTGACTATGGATGCAGAAGTGTTTGGTCTCATTGCTAGGGGAATTCAGGAACTGGCCTCTTCCTTATGCCACAGAAGCAGCCTGGCCCCAAACTAAGGAGAAGGTACCTAGGGAAACAGCAGAGGAAATCAGATGGCTTTGCAAACCTTGGCTAATGGTTCACCCTCAGAGTAGTCCTTGGTGATTGGTTTTTTAGCCTATTTCTTCCATTTTCACGTATATTTTTTGTGTTTTGAGATACACAAAAACATAGCTTTGGCCCAGTGAGATGGCTTAGTGGGTCAAAGGCACCTGTGCCAACCTTGACAGCCCGAGTTCAGTCCCCAGGACCCCATAGTGGAAGGAGAGAAGCAGCCCTACAAGTTAGCGGTCCTCTGCCCTCCACATGTGCCTGCCCACATACACACACATACACAAGCACAAAATACATCTCTTTTTTAAAAGAATATATTCTGGCCTAGCAATGGTGGAGCACACCTTTAATCCCAGCACTTGGAAAGCAAAAGCAGGTGGATCTGAGTTCCAGGCCAGCCTGGTCTACAAAGCAAGTTCTAGGACAGCCAGGACACAGAGAAACTCTGTCTTGAAAAACCAGAGAGAGAGAGAGAGAGAGAGAGAGAGAGAGAGAGAGGAGAGAGAGAGAGAGAGAGAGAATCTTTCTCTTACCTGCCAACTCAACATACCACTGAAGCCAGAAAATACAGTGTCATCCTGTTGCTGTAGACAACAGTGAGGCTCAGAAAGATTCAAACTTTGACCAGAATTGCCCAGCCATTATTTACCAATAGGTAAATAAGATGGCATTACTTCTCCTTTCCTCAAAGTCCTGTGACAAAACAGAATGCTTTCTTTACTTTTTCCTCCTGGCTTGGTGGCACACACCTTTAATCCGAGCACTCAGGAGGCAGAGGCAGGTGGATCTCTGTGCAGGTGGATTCCTGTGAGTTCAAGGTCAGCCTGGTCTACAGAGTGAGATCCTGTCTGAAACAAAAAGGGGTTAGCTCATTCTTTCCACTTTAGTTTCAGTCATGTCTGAACAGAATTGTCCTTGTGTGGGTGAAATGACAGTGGTTTGGGTCCGTGATAGTCCAGGTGGTCATCTGGTCAACCTGGCTCTCCCGCTGGTTACTGCAGCCTGATGGTTTGGGTCCGTGATAGTCCAGGTGGTCATCTGGTCAACCTGGCTCTCCCGCTGGTTACTGCAGCCTGATCTTCCCCTGGGTTGGGACAGTGCAGGGGTGGACACCTTTCTGCCAGACTTTACTGACACTGTTTCTGTCTTCTTCCAGGTACATTGAACGGAAAGCTTTTCTGGATCGAGTGGACCACAGGCAGTTTGAAATTGAGCGAGATCTCAGACTGAGCAAAATGAAACCTTGACATTCTGGGGAGAATTAGTAGCAGCTTAATCCTATTGACAATGTGAGCTCTTCCGTGTGTCTGTGAAATATTTCCAGTGTTCATCATGTTTCCAGCAAGGCCCTTTTTCTACGTTGCAGTTTGGTTTATGTATCTTAATCTCAGCTGGTTTCATCCATTTTACTTTTTACAATTTGTCTTTAAATAAACAAATAGAAACCCTTTGTGAGGTCGGTGAAGGTGAAGATGCCACTCCCCTTCCTTCGCTCTGCTGAGATGTCCAGCCCTGTCCGGGGTGGTGGGAGTTTTGTGAGGCCACAGGCATTTCTCTGACATCAGCCTTTCCCAGAGACTGAGGGGGCTACCTGGGTAGATGCTGAGTCCCTGGGCATTTGTTCTCAATTGATTCAGGTTCTCTCTTATATGAAATTCTCATGTGTAAGGTGGGATAGTGGTGCCGGGCGGTGGTGGCGCACGCCTTTAATCCCAGCACTCGGGAGGCAGAGCCAGGCGGATCTCTGTGAGTTCGAGGCCAGCCTGGGCTACCAAGTGAGTCCCAGGAAAGGCGCAAAGCTACACAGAGAAACCCTGTCTCGAAAAAAAAAAAAAAAAAAAAAGGTGGGATAGTGGTATAAATTAATACTAAGTAGTTTTTTGTTTTTTTCCTACTCCCTTTTTCTCTTAAAAAAAAAAAGTCTACTTCAGATGTATTTTCTACCTCAGTAATTCTTTAGTTTTTTATTTGACAAAGGATATTCTTGCCAGTAGTGCTAGCACACACTTAGAATCCTAGCACTTGGGAGACTGAGACAGGATTGCTACTAATTTGAGGCCAACCTGGGCTATGTATAGTTCCAGGTCAGCCTAGGCTATAGCGTAAATCTTGTCTTAAAAATGGGAGGTGGGGAGTATTCTAAAGAACTATTGTCTTTATACTCCTTAGGGAAATTCCAAACCCAAACTACCTGCCTAGGAAGCATGAAAGAAGGAAATCAATAACAAACCACCCATGCTAATACAGCATTAAATCCCGTCACTTGCTCCTGGGGCATGTGAATGAGGGAGAAAGTAGGCTTCAAAGGCTACAGCTCTGGGGCCTTGACCACAGGTGTGTTTTCTGGCCTGTGGATGGTGTGAGTAACATCAGGGTCTCAGAAGGCTCAAGTGAGCTGATGCCATCAGGACAAGGACAAGGAACACCACTAGGTCACAGTAGGCTTCCCCATCTAGGCCTCAGATGTGTGGGCAGTGTTTGTAGCAGCCAAACTGAATGGTGGCACCAGATGGCTAGCATCTCATTACCCAGAAAGGGAGTTTATAAGCTACATTTGAACTCATGGTCTGTTACATCCATCTGCAAAGGACTGTTCAGGTGGCAAGAGAGCATTTTAAGCTGGCATCAGAACAATGGTCTCTACAGGTCTTGGGATGATAGAGGAAGTCTTTAACCTGAACCAGCCAGCACCCAGGATCTCCAGACCTACAAGAGACCTGTGGTGTTGTCTGGCATGTCACCCACTGCACTGGGGTGACTACTCTCTTGACTGTTCCTGCAGTTCTGTGTGCCCCCAGCACCCTATCTCATAGTTTAAAAGCCTTGTCTACGGTACACGTGGTGTGTTGATGAAGTGCCTCCTTGCCTAACTTTAGTACATGTGAACATACAAATGAGGGAACCGGTGTGTGTCAGGATCAGTAAGACAGTGGCCTCAAAGCAGCCCTGGGTCAGCGTACCACTCTGGCTGCAGGGGAAGCTGCAGATGTGTGCACGTAGCATTTCCAGCCTCTGTCACAAGGGTAGGCTGAAAGGGAGGGAACTGGGACTAGCTGGCCAGTGTGCCCGCACCACCAGCCTTTGTCATAAACAGCCTTTTCTATTTATTTTTTAAAGCTGTCCCAGCAGAGTAGGGAGGTAAGAGAGGAAAGCAGATGGCCATGTGTTGGTAGTTGCTGAGCTATTCTGAACTTGGATTTCAGTTTTTCATAAAAACTTTTTTTTTTCCCCCTGGGCAGTGGTGACACATATCTTTTATCCCAGCACTCTGGAGGCAGAGGCAGGTGGATCTCTGAGTTTGAAGCCAGCCTGGTCTACAGAGCGAGATCCAGGACAGGCTCCAAAGCTACACAGAGAAACCCTGTCTCGAAAAACAAAACAGACAAACAAAAACCATTTTTCAACATTATCCAAGAGATTGTGTTCTGTGTAAGGAAGAATTTTGAAGCGCTTCAGGCTGAGCCAGAGGAGGGTGACCTGCCTCCCAACAGCTGACTCCCAGGGCTGCAGAAGTGTAGGAGAGGGCTGCCTGTTAGGAAGGAGATCCTCTCTGCTCACTAAGATCTACATCTGTTTCAACAGCTCGGAAAACACACTCCGCACTTCTCACTGTGACGTCAGAGTCGAGGGGCAGGACCCACCAGCAAGCCAGGCCGCCTGAACTGGACATGGCTGTTCTCTGAACAAGTGGCTGTTTCTCATAGGCATAAACCAGACAGAGGTGCCAGGAGTCTTCAGCCCTGCTGGCTACGCCCTGTGCCCTGAATGCAGTGACTGTAGCATGGAGGCAGGGAACTACACAGGAGGACACACGTGGGACATGTGAGGCAGGCACGGGCCACCCAGGAGCTTTTCCTCTTGGTCAGTATGTACTCCTGTGTGAGCCCACCAGACTTCTTAGTGGGAATTGCTTTCTCAGTCACATTGTTAGCTGTCCTGATACCCTGCTTCACTTTCAAAGGGTTAAGCCACCTTGACAAATGCCTGGCATTTCTCAATGGACCCTTGGTTCAGTCCCCAGCACTGACTCCCCCCACCCCACCCCCCAAAAAATCCTCTTTTCTAACAGTTTGTTTGAACCATGGTAGACACTATCTAACCCAGTTTATAAAAATGTGTGAAAAAAGTATTTTATCTAGCTCCTCACATCTGTATTTAGTGGAACCTAGCTCCCACAGAGATGGTGCCCTTTATTCAGGAATTAGGAATGGTTAAATGTTTGTGGGGACCTGTGAAGGGTGAGTCAGTACTTGGGGACAGTTTGGAGCCCTTTGTGGGTCTGGTGGTCCAGTGCTTTGCTGGCCCTCACCGTGGGCCTGTTGACTAAGGAGGTGTCTAAGGGCCCTCTATGACTGACCCTGTGGGACAGAGACTGTCTTAGGAGTTGAGTTCTCTTGTCCCTGCCCCAGCCCTTTGTCTTCTCTCTGTCCCAGATGGGTGTGTCAGAATTCCAGAGTATCTGGTGCCTTTTAATTAGGGGGTGTGGGGGGAATTGACTGCCCTAGAGCGGTATGAGGTCAAATAATAAAACAAGCCTCTTTCTGTACTCTGTTCACCTACTTCTTGAGGAACACAGTGCTCTAATTAAGAGTTGTGCACAAGGCCTCTGGGGGCTTACAGGGACACATTAAGAAGTAACCTTGAGTGTGGTATACACTGTGGAGCTAAGGAGGAAGAAAGACACTGAGGCCTTGGCCAATATTGAGCCAGGGTCTGTCTGGCATGAGAAATGTGCGATGGGCCGGTTAGCCGAATGGCCAGCGTCACTGGAAGACCAGAGACACCTTTGGGGAGAAGTGGAGACAGGGTGCGTCCCACCGGTCAGGACTGGGAAGACTATGTGACAGGCTGTCCGGAGACTGTGCTACCCTGTGGTTAGTGTGGCAAGGTGTCTGAACGTGTGTAGTTTGGTTGGTGTGGTCTGTCAAGGCAGGGCATGGTAGAAGGGTCTAGCACACTCCAGAAAATACAGTGTTCTGCCTTTTGGTACCAGTTCCTCATGAGAGCTAGAAGTACTTAGGTATGTTGGTAAGACATGGCTGATAGAGTTTGCAGCACACAGAACTGGACGCACAGAACTGATCTGAATGTAAAGGTGATAGGTCAACAGACCAGAAGCTCCTGGTGTCATCAGCAAATAAAACCATTTTCCCAGGATCACCCACCCCAACATACATACATACACACTTGCACACACACACCACACAGCCTCCGCATGGCCCCATTTTCCACAGGAGGAAACTTGCCTGAAGTCATCAGGGAACTGGCCAGAGTGCACACACATCATGTGGTTTCACAGCACACTGAACGGCCTCTCAGTGCTGTTTGGCTCCCGCAGCCATGTGAGTGTTGGGGAACTTGTGTTGGGAGAGGAATGTCAGGGGACAAAGGAGCATACAGAAATGTCTGTAGTGGAGGGAATGGCACAGCAAAGTCAAGGACACACAGGCCACTGTCCTGGGGCCTCCCCAGCCAGGGCAGCGTCTGAGACTCTGCTGAAGAGGTAGGTGTGCAGCTGAGATCCTTCCGACATCCTTGGCCTGGACTGAAAGGATGGAGCCAGGTATCACTCACATCGAGCTCTGCTATGCTGAGGGAGGAGTGCTGCCTTCACTTCTAGATGTTGCCTGGCTCTGGAGAGTCGGGGAAGATAAGGCTGAGAAACTAAGGAGAGCATCTTCCAGTCAGATACTGCGGTTGCCTCCCTGTTTCCAACCTCTGGCTTAGAGTCCTCATATTCAAAAAGTTGCTAGGGATGAGTATTAATTCTGTTCCACCCCCTCACGTTGTTATACTCAGTGAGATACAGCATCCAAGCACTAAGTTCAGCAATCAGATTTGCCTTGAACATTTCCATCCTTGTACTATCACATAGTGATGAGCTTTCTAGATAGCAAGCTTTCTCTATGTCCCATTGAGGCTGGCAGGCATTCCAACTGATCCCCTGCCTCAATGGCTCCAGGAGCAATTCTCAGAAGAGTGGTTCAAAGTGACCAGTTTAAAAAAAAAAAAAGCCAGGCAGTGGTGGTGCACACCTTTAATTCCAGTGCTCGGGAGGCAGAGGCAGGCAGATCTCTGTGAGTTCGAGGACAACTTGGTCTACAGAGCAAGCTCCAGGACAGGCACCAAAACTACACAGAGAAACCCTATCTTGAAAAACAAAAAAATAAAATAAAAATAAAAATAAATAAAATTCCAAGTGGAGGGGGGCAGGCAGATTTCTGAGTTCAAAACCAGCCTGCTCTCCAGAGGACTACACAGAGAAACCCTGTCTCGAAAAACCAAAAGAAAAGTGTCTTGTCAAGTTGCCCCCCACTCTACTTTAAAAAGCAGATTTGAGAGGCTAGAGGTGGCTTATCGGCACTTGCTGCTCTTCCAAAGACCCAGATTCATATTCGGCACCCACATAAAAGCCGACAACCACCCACAACTCCAGTTCCTGAGGATCCTATGCCCCCTCCTGGGCTCTGCGGGCACCAGCCATGCCCGTGGTGCTCACACATAGCATGCGTTCAAAACACCCATACACACAAAATAAAAACAAGTGTAAAAAGCAGGTCTGAGGGGCTGGAGAGATGGCTCAGTGGATAAACATAAGAACCCGAGTTTGGATCTTCAGCACTAACGTAAGAGCCAATAAAAAAGCTCATCTGTGATCCCAAGCATGACAGGATACAGGGAGTCAATCTCCGGGGTGCGCTGGCCAAACAGTCTAACCAAATTAGTGATGTCCAAGTTCAGTAAGACTCAAAAAATAGGGTGGAGAGAAACTGAGGAAGAGTCTTGATGTCAACCTCTGGCCTCCCACTCAGCATGAGTGCACACAACCATACAGACACACACACACACACACACACACACACACACACACACACACACACACACACACACACACAGCTTAGGGTTGGCTGGGGGAGCTGAGGAGACTGGGTCAGGCCAGGTGCCTCTTCCCAGAACAGCTGTGTTAGGACTTGTACTAGTTGATGGTGAAGCCCATCAAGGCCGAGTTGGCCTTCCCTCACTGACAGCCCTGACAGACAGACGCACAGAGATGGGTGATGAGCAGCCCATATGTTAGATACTGCAGCAGGCCCCGACTTGTTAGATGCAAAATAAATGGTTCCTGACTTGGATAAGTGAGTTTTAAATCTACAGATACCAGCGTGAATCTCAGTCTGTGTCCAGATTTTGTAGCAGAAGTTACGTATGGAATGGTCTATATTCACATACCCAGTATCCTAAGCTGTCCCCAAGCCCTTAGGTCACTGGAATGGCTTGAGGCTTCAAGCCTCTGGGGAGTACGGCTGAAATGACTGAGGGCATGAAGGAATGTCGCTGTCCTTGGTCCCCTCACCAGTGCCCACCTCATCTCCCCTGAGCACATTTGCCCTATTAAACACTGACCGACCAATGGAAGACACTTGTTCTTTTTTGCTTTTGTTTGCTTGGGCTTTATTTTGTTTGAGACAGGGTCTCCCATAGCCTAGGCTGACCTTGAACTTGCTCTGTAGCTGAGTATGATCTTGAACTTCAAATCTCCTACATCCACCTCCCAAGTACTGGAATTACAGTTCTGTGCCACCATGCCCAGTTTATGTGGTACTGGGAATCAGGCCTAGGGCTTCATGCATGCTCGCAACTGAGCTACAGCTCCTGCTTTGGTTTTTTTCAGGTACAATTTCCTATAACTCCAGCAGGCCTGGAACTTACTGTGTAGTCAAGGATGGCTTTGAATTCCTGATCCATTGGCATCCACCTACAAAATACAGGGATTACAGGTGTATGTCATCATGTGTAATTAGAAGACATTTTTAAACTCGGAAGATGCCATCTCAGACTACCCCATTTTACGCTGGTTAATAGGTCTCTGTTCTCTTAACTCCATTCTGGGATTTTTGAATGTGAAATTTAAGAAAGGGAACTTCCCTTTTTTGTTGTTTTCTGGTTTTTTTAGACAGGGTTTCACTGTGTAACAGCCTTGGCTATCCTGGAACTTGCTCTGTAGACCAGGCTGGCTCAAACTCACAGAGATCAGCCTGCTGGGATTAAAGTCATGTGCTGCTACTACCACCACCACCCACATCAGCATGAGCCAACTGCAAACAACTGGCCATAAGACAGGCTTGATTAGAGTTCCTGACACCTTTAATCCCAGCAGAGGCAGAGACAAGTGGATCTCTATGAGTTCGAGGCCAGCTTGGTCAACAAAGGAAGTTCCAGGACAGCCAGGAGTGTTACACAGAGAAACTCTGTCCTGAAAAACCAAAAGAAATAAGAGTTCCTGAAAACCTTGAAACCTTGGAATTTGCCCTCTTCTGAATGCTAGTGAAGGGCCCTGTGATTGGAGGGTTAGACCTTTCAGCCTTTCCTTGATCTCCAGGGAAGAGAAATCAATCCCCGGTGGCCAGTGATCTAATCAGTCCTAACAATGTAATAAAAATCAACAATAAAAACTACGAAGAAGTTCTGGAAGTTGGGGACAATCCATATACCAAGAGGATGTTGTACTCCTAAGTTTGAGGACAGGCTTCTGTGCCGAGAACCTTCCAACCCCTTACCTACTTCTTGTTTGGCTGCTCATTTGCATTCTCTGTAATAAACTTGTAAGTAGGGAAGTTTCCTGAGTTTATGAGTTCTAGAAAATTATCAAACAAAGGGAAAAATGGTCACGGGAGTCCCCAGATTTGTAGTCAGCTGGGCGGAGGGGTGGATAGCCTGGGCACTCATTTGTAGTTGGCATTTGGGACTGGGCTTGTGGGACCAAGCCCTTATCATGTGGGTAGTTAGTATCAGAACTGAATCAGGTTGTTGGCTATCCAGTTGGTGTTAAGAGAATTGGTTAGTTTGGAGAAAACCCACAC